AAAGTCTTTACCAATTTGGTAAAATAATTATTTTATAATTTTAATACTTACAGCTAAATTGTCACATATGTATTGCATAAGAAGAATGGTAGCTTGTTTGGTTTGCTGCACTTCCCACTCAACTCCTTTGACCATAACCGATGTTGCGTGCAGTTTTGGGCGTGTTCGAAACATGACTTGAACATTGTATTGTTTTTGTATTTCCACAACGTATGAAGTATTGGCGTCCGGTGAGACTGGCATTATTGGCAGTTCAAAGCTGAATATTAAAGGCGTCAAATTCTAAAAGAAAAAACAGAAAAACAAACCTAAGTCACGAAGAAATGGAAGCTATCCTTCAAAGAAACATACATTCGTTCTGTTAATTATGAGTAAATAATTAATTTGTCAAGTAAAAAGGAAGGTAATTGTTGCGGTTAGTAGGTCTACTGGAAAGTAAAGTAGAATGACACATTTAAAATAATTTTTGAAGGGTTAATTTCAATACATTAATCTTTGAATTAATTATTACCACTACATACAACTTTAAATTAATTTAAAAAATTGTTGCTGCTGTATTGCGCTCGCCGGAAATCGAACCCGGGTCCTTGGCTTTACGTGCCATTGCTGCACCACTAAGCTACGAGAGGTGACAACAGCAACAATATCGACGATTTATAACTAGCTAATTTTAGTAAATGTTTCATTGTTAATAAGTAATGATTATAGTATATTGGTTCGATGATTCCGTCGTCTATATATATAGTTAGGTTATTGTCTTGTTGCTGCTGTCAATTCTCATAGCTTATAGTTAGTGATATAGTAATGCTGCGTAAAGTCAGGAACCCGGGTTCGATTCCCGACGAGGGCCTCATTAATTTGAGGTTATCTGAAGTTGTAAAAATTAATTAACTTTAATGTATTAAGTAGAATCTTGACTTTTTCGTTTACATACATCTTTTCCATCTTTAACGTTTTTCGTTTATTAGCCAAATATTGCGTGTTGTTTCATTTTAGACAGTGGTCATCTCATTACAATTAGTCAATTAGTTTAAGGGCAAACAAACTAAAATATTGTCAGTATTTAAGATAAAAGCTATCAGACCTTTACAGCAGACACTTCTTTGAATTTGGAATTCAATTAGTTTTTAAAAATATTTTATCGTACACTTAAATGGCGCACCCTTCAAACAAGCACCTCCTTTTTAAAAGCTTTTACAACGAAACAAGTTGGAAAAGAATACCCTGACACGTCCTCTTGCTCTTTCAACCCCTTCGATATCGCCTGCGATGGAAACCTGATTACTCTTTTCAGTGGGGTTTGATCTGTTCGAATCTGGAAAATGCACGTGACACTGAGTTTCCTCCATTACCCTTTTGATGCTATGGCCTCCCTTCCCTATTATATGTGAGTGGTCTGTGTAGCTTACGTCCATCTTCATGATTACCCGATTGCTCTGGAAACATTATTAACGGTACAATACCTAACGACAGTCATTTTAAAACAGAAAGAGATGTTGTTTGTTATTATTGTGTTTGTTATTGTATTGTTGAAGGCTCAATTTATTGTTCTGCAGAGTTCGGTTACAACGAACACAGATTAAGACAAACGCTTCACTTTAACGTTTGCCGTACCGTTTCGTTACTGAAAATATGTTCCTATTAGGGCAAAAATGCTGTTACTCCCAGAATCACTGCGATCCTTCCATGGAACTTCGTTGCTATAAAGAATCTAAGATCTATAAATGTGTACTGAATTTAATTCATGCTTGAGAAGATGTCCTAACAGCCTATCTCGCCTATTTCTTATTGACTTCCATAGAGTCCTCTGTTCTCCTATTATTTCTAATACCTCTTCATTTCTAACCTTCTCTATCGACGGTATCCTCATCATTCACCTGTTAACACCATATTTCTAAACTTTGACAAAATAAGTCCTAAGGAAATTGTAAAGCGATTGTAGTGTTTTTTCTTAAATTTGACGTTTTAGTATATTAAGCTTGTAACATCAAATTTCAAATGCTTCTAACCTTTTCTCTTCCGCCGCGCCCACTGTCCATGTTTAGCACCCGTACAAAGCCGAGCTCCAAATAAACACCTTTAACAATCTTTTTCGATTTTCTAAATTAACCGTTCGCGAGCATAGAAGTGATTTCTTTTGATTAAAAGCGACACGACCCTGCGCTATCCTCTGCTTTATATCCCTACTACACCTTTCGTCCTGACTTATCTGGCTTTCTAGGTACCTAAAATCGGTCACTTCTTGTAAATTTTCGTCTCCTATCTTTGCATTCGCTCTTTCCCTACTTTATCCTCCCTTACAAACCAGTATTTTTGTTTTACTTTTATTTATTTTCAAACATACTGTTTTGTCAGTAGTGCCGTTCATTTTATTTATAGCTATCTCTATCTCCTCCTTGCTAAATGCTAAAACTGCTCTATAATCTACAAACCTAAGCATATTAATCTTTTGCCCCTGTATATCTATCCCTACAGTTGTACTGTCTTTAATGATGTTGATCGCGCCTTCGATGTGTAGATTAAAAAGTAGCGATGAGTGTGCATCCCTGTCTGACTTCTTTCCTAAGATCTACTTCCCTACGTTGTAGACCCAGCTCTATAACTACCTGTTGCTCTTTTTACAAACTATGTATCACCCTTTTATCTCTGTAACTCATCCCTACATTTTAAGGAACAGTATTTTTTCTGGATAAATGGTACCTATGTCCGTTTCCGTACTCCTGTACAAAATTTGAAGATGATCGTTTAAGTCGTTAAGGCGTAAAATGGTAATGAACAAACACATTCGCAGTTATGTCAGTTAGGAACTCTTTGTTATAATATTTAAACACATTAAACACTCTTTAAACAGCGTCTACAGAAATATTATAACAAAGAGTTCCACACATTTAACATGCCTCAAACAAAGACAATTTTACATACCTATGCTAAATTAATCCGATCGCTTGATCTAGATATCGTTACTAACTATAGAGATATAATTCCAATGACTTCCAATGTACTTTCAGAAGAACATTAAGTAAAACCGAGAAAGGTAAGCGTATCCGTGGATCCAATTCAATGAATTAAGTATGCCATTAAACTTTATGGCTTATTTTTGTAATTTCAACAGTACTATACTTGGCAGGTGTTTTCAAAAATTTAGATAATGATTTTGTGCAAAATATTTTAAAGAATTGTAAGACAAGAAATAAAACAATATGAAAATATTTAAGTCAAACATCTTACTCTTGTGTCCAGGACCGTCATAATTCTTTCTTTTGCAGTGTGAACATCGTTTGGTCTTCCTGCTATTCGGACATGGGGATCTAAAAGCAAAATTTTCATATTTATTGATCGTATCAAACAAATCAACATTTCTTTTCTGTATAATTATGGATCAGTTGGGTTCCAGACAAAAATCAATCAAAAAAATTTTCTAGACTACATACATTTTACAGGTAAAATATTTAGTCTGAATATTATACTACCATTTAGACATTATACCTACACTCTGTCTGATCAGTATTCCATCTGGAGGTAGTGTTGAGTGCAGCTCGTGAGAGAGCAATAACGTAAGGGGTGTAAAAGGTATGCACAAAATGTACCCCAAAATGAGCCGTCAATGATTGAGAACAGTTGTCAGTTTAGCAGCTGCTTTATCTTATCGCCCTTCATTATCACAAGCGTCAAGTGACGAAACCCTCATACCTACTCGTGACCTTCACAGCAGCTGGTACACAGGCAGGACTATTGCAAGTGTGACGGATCCCGTTGTTACTGTTTGATTAGCAAAGTTACAGTTTTTTCCACAAAATACAAAAAAAAGTTGAGTGTGAAAATATTAAACAAAAAAAATGTATTCGCACTCAGAATATGGCAATCAAATACGGACGGCGTAGAGAGAATTCACTAGCGACATCACGCGAAGACACGTCATTGCCGGAGCAGTTGGGGCTTTCAGTAAGGTTATAACCCTCATGTTTATGTATATCACTGAGTGGTGTGAAATGACTCATTCCACTTTTTTTCATGTACCTAATTCTCCCTTAATTTCTCTGGAGTACTGATCAGACACAGTGCACCTGTATGTTAATCGAAATGTTCGAAAACGGTCATCGACCGTATTTTTTGGCCAATTCTAGAACTGGACGTCTTTTTTTACAAAAAGAGAAGAAAAGCTACTCGTATTTGGTGATTTTATGTGTAAGAATATGTTAAGTTAGAGATGGATCAGGTTGCACTAGATTTTTTTTTTAATTTCGTTCAAAGTTGGAACACATCGCATTGGTCATCCGCCAGTCGAGCATTCATAAGCCCATACAGAAGCTACAGTTTGAACATTAATCTTAACGACGAGACGTTCAATCATACAATTATGATCATCTTTCGAGTTTTACGAACAACTTATTCAGTATCCACTCAATTTAAACAAGATGATTGGCGCAGAATTAATTAATAAATATTAGTTTTTTTTATACCTATTGCAGGGATCGAATAAATTAGTTCAACGTCGAATTAAATAAAAAAATGGCAAAAATAGAAAAAGGTACGGCAACTAAGTATTTCTAGTTATGGTTGCTCAAGGCAACTTCATTCGACGTTCGATTACACTCGTTGTCTATAGGATTGTTCGGAAAGTCATTTCGTTTTTTTTTGTGGNTACCAGTATTTTAGTTTTACTTTTATTTATTTTCATACAGTACTGATCTGTCAGTACCGCTTCCATTTTATTTAAAGCTATCTCTAGGTCCTCCTTGCTAGATGCTAATGCTAATGCTAATGCACTACGGTATTATACACAAAAATATTTAGACGCCCATTACGATAAAAATTAATTTAATAACAACTTTGTTTATCTCTGATTAATTATATAACACCAGTAAACAATCACACAAATACGTATACTATTGTCGGCTAGACATAAGCATCGTCAATCACACATACATAATCTAATCCAACAAATAACAAACAATGCATGAGGTCAAAAATACAGATACCCAGTTGGTTGAAACGGAGTGGCATTATGGCACTCCTATCCATATTTGCCGATTTTAGGTATCTAAGAAGTCAGATAAGTTAAGACGGAAGGAGTGGTAGGGATATAAAGCAGAGGATAGCGCAAGGTCAAGTCGAAAAAGTTTGTTAAAGGTGTGTTTGGAACACGGCGCTATACGGGTGCGAAACATGGACAGTGAGCGCGGCGGAAAAGAAAAGCTTAGAAGCGTTCGAAATGAGGTGTTACGGGCGAATGATCAGGATAGCGTGGATAGAGAAGGTTATAAATGAGAGAAACAGAGGACTATATGGAAGTCAATAAGAAATAGGCGAGATAGGTTGGTAGGACACCTCAGGCATGAAGGTCTAGAAGAGACATCCTAGAGGCAGAAACGGGAGTTAGAAAAGGTAGAGGTAGACCTAGATTAGATTACTGTTTACAAATAGTTAAGGATATGGGTTGCTCTAGCTTTAGGGAAATGCGAAGATTAGCGCAGGATAGGGATGAGTGGAGGTGCGTGTTCAACCAGTCTTAGGACTGATGACCTTATGATGACGATAATCCATATTTGCCTGTACTTTGAATTAAGTTTTCCTTAAAAACAGTGAACTTTCGGACATACCTACATTTACTTAATTTTCTTGTTCCATAATGCCCTATCACGTCCTACATGTTTAGTACTTATTTCAGAAATACCCTGTACATGTGTAATATCGAGCTACTACACATAATTGCTATTTAATAGCATACTCCGTAACGTGTACGTATACATGTTTTAATTAATTGTATTTACCATGAGCTGCTGACGTGCATTGTAAACACTATGTATATTTCCAGTAATGGTTACGTTACTCTTCTTCAGACTCGGTATATTTGGATCTTTAGCGTCAGGAAACATGATTTGCGTATTGGTCCTTTGCATTATAGCCTTCAAGTTTGCGTGATTCTTCCCAGTTACAATGGAATGGTGTTGCGGTGAGATTTCCATTGACATTTGCACATGAATTTCATTCTAAATCGGAACAACAACTTTGTCAAGAAACTTCAACAAGAACATTAATAGGAATTTCATATTATAATAAGATAAAAAATCATAACCGTGAACCATGCCAACAAGATTTTGTACTTCATGGATAAAATAAGCAGGTATGTCACATGGGCGCGAATAATTTCTTAAAAATATGCACAAAAAGTTTTTGCATAAAAGAATTTTTTAAGGATATACCCATGTAAATCTTAACCTGTTCCGTAAAAAAGCTATTTGTCCGTTATTATTTATTATTTGGTGTAGCCAAACGTCTACGATTTATATATGCACAATGAAACTAAAGAAGTCCATTGAAAGATAGCTTTGAGAATAAGAGGTGAAGTGACGATCGGCGATTAAGGAAGTGTGAAGTGCTTTAACGAGTTCAGTTAATATTTTGTTTAAAGAGTGAGGTGCGGTAACGGCAGAAATTTTTGGTTATTGTGCACATATTATGCAATTTAATTGTATCTGTTTTTATTGTTGAAATGTATGACCTTTTGAAGTGAAAGGTGAACGGCCGACGGGTCCGATGTACCTTTAGAACGGTGGTACAGCCTGCAAAAATTCAGATAACACACTGCACTGCAGGTTTAGGTGGATATAACCGGAGTGGCATTGCGCGTAAAAAAAAAGAATTTGGATGCTGGTGAAGGATAGGATGGTAGGCCCTCTTCAGATGCGTTGTAGAAACAATGGGAATGGGTGAGTGGTGTCTGGGGTGTCAAAGATGAGATGGACGAAATGAAGACAGAAGAGAATGAAAGATGTATTTAAAAAGAGAAATCCACTCTTTGATCTTCTGTATACAACGGTGGCCTAGGTGTCGGTAAAATTGTGGTACTATTGACACAAAGGCGTACAGTAGAGAAATAAGTCTCTACTATAAGGAAAAGAATGCTTGGTTATTTAGCTGGAGCATGTTATTTACGTTCATTGCCACTTTGCAAGATGTAATCCTTGAAAAAAACTCCTGATTACTATATAAAGCTGGCAGAAGTGATTCAATGTAAATCTAACATCACAATTATGAAAAATTAATTAAGTAGATAAAACACATCAAAATTCACAAGAATAAAATTAAAATCTCTCCTTTAGTTAAAATATTCTTAGCAATTGCTTTACTAGTCGAAAAAAATTGCTTTATGAACTTAGTGCGCAGATCTCAATTTTCCACAAAATTCTGCTGTGCAACTGTCTTGCACTTTCATCTTACCACTTACTCGCGCCCGATCAGATACCTATCCATTTTTTATACGTTAATTAAATTGGAACAAAACCTAAATTTGAGAAAACTGTTCTTGCGCTCAAAAGTAAATGTACAAATTAACAACAGGAACGAAAAAAATATAAAAGAATGAGGAAGAAGTAAAGATTATTGAGTTTTTGTTAGCAATTTATTGAAATTGGTGTGGGATTTAGAACTTGGTCCTCTTCAGCACTTTGCAGAACATGGCCATATTTACTGCCAATTGTAGTACTTCATATGCTTGACAAGGATCTTAGGAAGATATTTACTTGTCAAATTTACTCTGTAGTGTTGCTTAGAATACTTTCAAAATTGCGATTCACCATTGACTCCGACAAGTCCATTCTTTATGCGTATGGGGGAACCTAAACTAACCGTCACCTTCAAGTAGTAAAATATTATTAAACATAAATTATGAGTGTAATTCGCAATTCCACAAAAATAAGTGCTTATATCACTAAAGAAAATCAAAATGAAGGGACGAAAAATTTTTTTTTATTTTTTTTATGATTACGTACATATAAAAAGTTTTCACCCTTAATGTTTGTTCGATTCTTTTTGTGATACCTGATTTTTAACATTGGCACAAAATTAGCCCCTAAAAAACGCTTAGTTCCTGCATTTTTCAAATTAATTTTGGACACTTGTCAGATATGGATTCAACGGCAAAAGAGACTTGAACTTTGTGTTTTACCATAAGGATACCACAATCCTGTTCTAAATTTCGTGCAGAAAAGCGTCTGCGTAGTAGGAGGATTTAGAGTTCACGTGAGGCTATCACGTGTACAATTCCGCAAATGACTGACAAAATTCACATGCTTGTGTTTGCTGGGATAAGCTTATAATTAATAATTATTAAGTTTGACGACGATAGACATTCTCCGTAAGGCCCACATTCACTGCAGACGTAAAACGGCACATTTGCATGTACTTACTGCGTGTATGAGTAAGAGTGGCATCGGTTTGTTCTTTTCTTTCACGTAGCAGTGTGGTCAAAGAAATTAAAAATTGCGTCGTTTAGCATTTGGAATAAGGACACCTCGAAATATTATCGTAAACTCGATGTTTCAAATTACACCGAAAATGACACTTCTAAAAACTTTTTCCTGATTCATGTTCACCAATGTTGTTAAAGATTATTTACTATTTATAAGTGGTGACTAATTTGTTTTAGTATTTTATCCGACATGTTTGAAAGCAGTAACAGTTGAACTAACGCTGTCTTTATTGGAGTCTAAAGGCTGTCGGTTGGAGTTGCTTTTAAGCATTACATTAATGGTATCAGATATCAAAGAATGGATAGTTCGCCGTTCTCTAGCATATCTATCGTATGCTCAAAAGGTCACGGACCGAATTAATAGAGTCCCAAAGAGACATGATATCAGAATCATCTTCAAACCTACGAATAAGACCTAGCAGACCAACAGATCAGCTGAGGACAAAAGGGATCCGCATACCCTGTTCCTGTGGAAAGGTCTACATAGGAACCGCTAAGAGATCGATGACAATGAGAGACAAGGAGTACAAAGTCAGCTGCCGGCTACGACACTTTGAAAAGTTGATTGTGACTGAACACGCATTGAGCAACGGTGACCACAAAATATTCTTTAAGAACCACAAATAGCTAGCTTCGTCAACGACTATCACAGCAGGATGTTCAGAGGTGCCATCGATATCCAAAAACATGAAGGAAGAGACTCACAATGAACTATATCTGGAACCAGATCCTCAGAAACACTTGAACGGTAGCGACCGGCCACGGTAGACTGATGCAAATCTCCTTGAGAATAATGTAAACAAAAAAAAAGAAGTCCTCATTCCATATCCAGCATCGGAGATGGAAGCACATCTGAAGAAGCTCGCCATTCGTGCTAGCGAAACCTTAGGAGCCAACTTACGAGATTTAAACCCGAATTAGGACTCCATTAGTTCATCATGTTTTAATTAATTGTATTTACCATGAGCTGCTGACGTGCATTGTAAACACTATGTATATTTCCAGTAATGGTTACGTTACTCTTCTTCAGACTCGGTATATTTGGATCTTTAGCGTCAGGAAACATGATTTGCGTATTGGTCCTTTGCATTATAGCCTTCAAGTTTGCGTGATTCTTCCCAGTTACAATGGAATGGTGTTGCGGTGAGATTTCCATTGACATTTGCACATGAATTTCATTCTAAATCGGAACAACAACTTTGTCAAGAAACTTCAACAAGAACATTAATAGGAATTTCATATTATAATAAGATAAAAAATCATAACCGTGAACCATGCCAACAAGATTTTGTACTTCATGGATAAAATAAGCAGGTATGTCACATGGGCGCGAATAATTTCTTAAAAATATGCACAAAAAGTTTTTGCATAAAAGAATTTTTTAAGGATATACCCATGTAAATCTTAACCTGTTCCGTAAAAAAGCTATTTGTCCGTTATTATTTATTATTTGGTGTAGCCAAACGTCTACGATTTATATATGCACAATGAAACTAAAGAAGTCCATTGAAAGATAGCTTTGAGAATAAGAGGTGAAGTGACGATCGGCGATTAAGGAAGTGTGAAGTGCTTTAACGAGTTCAGTTAATATTTTGTTTAAAGAGTGAGGTGCGGTAACGGCAGAAATTTTTGGTTATTGTGCACATATTATGCAATTTAATTGTATCTGTTTTTATTGTTGAAATGTATGACCTTTTGAAGTGAAAGGTGAACGGCCGACGGGTCCGATGTACCTTTAGAACGGTGGTACAGCCTGCAAAAATTCAGATAACACACTGCACTGCAGGTTTAGGTGGATATAACCGGAGTGGCATTGCGCGTAAAAAAAAAGAATTTGGATGCTGGTGAAGGATAGGATGGTAGGCCCTCTTCAGATGCGTTGTAGAAACAATGGGAATGGGTGAGTGGTGTCTGGGGTGTCAAAGATGAGATGGACGAAATGAAGACAGAAGAGAATGAAAGATGTATTTAAAAAGAGAAATCCACTCTTTGATCTTCTGTATACAACGGTGGCCTAGGTGTCGGTAAAATTGTGGTACTATTGACACAAAGGCGTACAGTAGAGAAATAAGTCTCTACTATAAGGAAAAGAATGCTTGGTTATTTAGCTGGAGCATGTTATTTACGTTCATTGCCACTTTGCAAGATGTAATCCTTGAAAAAAACTCCTGATTACTATATAAAGCTGGCAGAAGTGATTCAATGTAAATCTAACATCACAATTATGAAAAATTAATTAAGTAGATAAAACACATCAAAATTCACAAGAATAAAATTAAAATCTCTCCTTTAGTTAAAATATTCTTAGCAATTGCTTTACTAGTCGAAAAAAATTGCTTTATGAACTTAGTGCGCAGATCTCAATTTTCCACAAAATTCTGCTGTGCAACTGTCTTGCACTTTCATCTTA